ATCTGCTACTCCTCAGTGCATTTCCCCATCTGATCAAGATTCCATTGTACTCTGAGATAACCTTCACTGTCCACTACACCACTAATTTGGGTGTCATCTGCAAACTTACTAACCATACCTCCTATAATCATGTCCAAATTGTTTACATAAGTGATAAACGACAGTTGACCCTGCAACAATCCCTGCAGAACACTACTGGTCATGGACCTGTAGACTCTATAACAAAAAGCATTTGCCACAGTTTGCATGTGGTATGTTGCCTTCATAGGGACAGGATTTGAGTACAGGAGCAGGGATGTCTTGCTGAAACTGCAGGGCATCGGTAAGACCACACCTAGAACAGGGTGTGTAACTCTGATCTCTTTATCTGAGGAGGGATATTGGGGCTAATAACCCTGTGTCACCAAATAAAAACCGAAAGAACTGCGAATGCTGGTGGTACAGGGTCAAAAACAGAAGTTGCTGGAAAAGCTCAGCAGGTCTGGTAGCATCTGTGAAGAAAAAATCAGAGTTAACGTTTCTAGTCCTTTCTGAGGAAGGGTCACCAGACCTGAAACGTTAACTCTGATTTTTTTCTTCACAGATGCTGCCAGACCTGCTGAGCTTTTCCAGCAACTTCTGTTTTTGACCCTGTACCACCAGCCTCTGTTTCCTACTGTCAAGCCAATTTTGTATCCAAGCGGCTAGCTCTCCCTGGATCCCATGTAATCTAACTTTACTAACCAGTGTACCATGCAGAGCCTGTTGAAGGCCTTGCCAAAATCCACATAGACAACGTCTACCGGCCTGCCCTCATCTATCTTCTTGGTCATGTCCTCAAAACAACTCAGTCAAGTTTGAGACATGATTTCCCATGCACAAACCCATGCTGACTGTCCCTAATCAGTCCTTGCCTCTCCAAATGCTTGTATGTCCTGTCTCAGAATCCCCTCCAACAGCTTTACCCACCACTGATGTCAGGCTTACCACTCGACAGTTACCTTGCTTTTCCTTGCTGTCTTTCTTAAATAAAGGCACAACATTAGCCACCCTCCAATCTTTCGACACCTCGCTCATGGTTGTAGATGATACAAATATCTCTGCTGGTTCCCACAATTTCTTCCCTAGCTTCCCACAATGCTCTGGGATACACTTGATCAGATCTTGGAGATTTAACTACCTTTATGCATTTTAAGACCTCCACCACCACCTCTTTTGTAATGTGGACTGTTTTCAAGACATCACTGTTTATTTCCCAAGTTCACTAGCTTCCATGTCTTTCTCCACAGCAAATACTGATGCAAAATATTCCTTTAGTATCTCACATATCTCCTGTGGTTCCACATATAGACTGTCTGATTGATTTTTAAGGGGCCGTATTCTCTCCCTACTTGCTGTTTTGCCCATAATGTACTTGTAGAATCTCTTATCTGCCAAAGCTATCTCGATCTATTTTTGCCCTCCTGATTCGCCTAGTGATTCACTTGATCTCAGCCATCTGTACTTGACATATGCCTCCTCCTTTACCTTGCCCAGACCCTCCATATCTCTAGTCATCCAGTGTTCCCTACTCCTACCAACCTTGCCTTTCACTCTAATAGGAGCATACTGTCTCTGAACTGTCTCACTTTTGAAAGCCTCCCACTTACCACTTGTCCCTTTACCTGCGAACAGCTTCATATTGATGAAGAAAATTTTCTTGAATAAAATTAATAAATTCCTCCCCATTCCAAGCCCTTAACACTATACAGTCCCAGTCTATGTTTGGAAAGTTAAAATCTATTTGTATAATAACCCTGTTTTCTTAGACATATCTGAGATTGTCCTATATATTTGCTCCTCAGTTTCTCCCTGACTGTTTGGGGGGCCTATAGAGCAATCTCATCAAGATGATCATCCCTTTCTTATTTCTCAGTTCCACTCATATAACTTCACTGAACAATTCCCCAGGAATTTCCTTACTGAGTACAGCAGTGATGATTTCCTTATTCAAACACACCATGCCCCCTCCTCTCGCCTTCCTTTCTATCTCTCCTATAGCATCTTTGCCTCAACATTGAGCTGCCAGCTATGTTTCTGTAAAAGCTATGATATTTCAGTCCCATGCTCCCATACATGCCTCGAGTTGATCTGCCTTACCTGTCAGGCCTCTTGCATTGAAATAAATGCAGTTTAGTTCTTCAGTTTTACCTTGTTCCCTGCTGCGCTCGTGCTTATCTTAACTGTTTAACTTGCTCCCTTTAACTTCTGAACAGCCCTCAACATTGGCGCTTTTCTCATTACTGCTCCCCATACCAGTTTAAAGCCTCCTGAGTAGCAAATCTGCAGAAACTATATTTAAAAATACTTAATTGTCACATGTTTTTTGTTGTTCTAAAGTTGTGAAAGTTGTTTCATAAATGCATATTCTTTCTTCTTTGTGTCATTTCTTTACTGCTGTGTTTTAAAAAATGCACCTACAGCTTAAAATCATTTGGTGACTCTTTGGTTGTTCTTTATGATGTTTTGGATGATTAGAATAGTGCAGTTTGCTGTCATAATACGCTGCATTTTGGTATTGTGTTTGTTGCCCAGGAAGCACATTCATGGAAATGCGAAATCAAAGTATTGAAAGATGTAATCATTAATGCAATCATAACAGCTCCATAAAATCCCTGGAACAATGATTAGTTACTGAGCTCTCCAGCACTTAACAAGACAACTTTATGTAGTAGTAATATTTTTAAACTTCACCTCAATATATAGATGTATTGGAGAGCCTGAGTTTATCCAAGTGCTGACTGTAAAGATGCTGTATTTCAAATTAAATATTAATATTTTTGTAACTGTTTGTTGTTCCTGAAATCGAAAGAAATGTGTTTATTGACATTCCCAAGTAAATGATCTTCGGCAGCAAGTTGTTAGAGCACACCCACAGACCTGTTGATAAATAAGTTTGAACCAAAAATCTGTTGTATTTCAAGTTGATTGCTTTTAGAATATTATCACACAGAAAGGTCATCTACCTTTGGTTAGCATGAATTCTTATAGAAAATATAAGTTTATTCTTTGTGAGACAGATTAGATTAACACCTTCAATAATAATGAATGTTCAGCTTCTCCAGAAAATACACCCAGCTGTGATATGACACTGATTGCAACAAGGTTTGTTTAATGTGCTGCCAAAACTAACTGTTCTATTCCCTGTAAGACCTGGCCAGTATCGCTGCTGTGAATGATTATGGTTTGACCAGCTGCGGTGCTGGGGCCCATCAGTAAGCAGTTTGACAAACTGTAGTAGTGGAACTGATTGGTCCAGTTGTGGAACTAGCTGTAGTGCTGTAACTGACGGTATGCACTTTGAGTAGCAGTAATACTGTAACTGATCGGTACAATATTTGGCTTTGTTCTTATATTGTTTATTTGGTAAGTGTCTTCAGTTTCCTCAGATCTACTCTGAAATTTCTGCAGAGAAACTTCCGCATTTCTTCTTTTTAAGCCATTACTTGCAACTGACCTCTTTGTCCAAGGATCTATATTAATATCTTAATCATTCATTGTTCATATCAAATATTGTTTGATAATGATCCTATAACATGCCTTTAATACCTTTTTATTCAACAGCAAAGGAACTTCATAAATGCAAGTTGTTCTGTGTTCTTTAATTTGCGTTCCCCTGTGGATTTTGTGCATATAAACAATACTCAGACTTAGTGAGGCTTATGCAGTTCAAAAGTGAGATAAAATTGCACTTATATAGCATTTTGACATGTCAGCACAATATATCTCAAAAATTTTTCACATAAAATGAATTTCTTTGAACAGTATTGACTCTGACATATAAACAAACGTAGTAGATGAAATAAGCAACAAAATAAAACTTCCGATAGTCACAGGGCCACTACACACAGGAGGACTTTTGACGCCTTAAAAGGGCAACCAGTGCTGCTTTGGAAGGAAAGGGTCTTGAATCAGGGACCCAAGTTGCCACTAAGGGGTGTTTTAGGTCTTTGTTCTTGGGGTATGGAGAAACCAACGGGGGAAAAAAATAGAAATACTTCAATTCCTCAAAAAAGCAAAGTTGAGATTTCATGAAGCCATTGAAAATGTTCACGTGAGATTAACTTAAAAGATAATGACGATTTCCCCTCTCCACAACCCCAACCCAACCCTGCCTTAGTTCACCCCGCGAGTTGTGAATTAAAATACATAATTTGTGTTAGAATCAGGTATTGATTCTCCTTCATTGGTTAGTGCGTCTCAGTTGGTGCTAGAGAACACATTGGACTGTGTTCTCGTGAACAGATTTAGGACTATCTTATTTGCTTGATCATCTGAAACTTTTGGAAGCAATTTAAAAATCTAGTAGTGTTGCCAAGGAACCCAAGTGACTGTATGAAATCTGCCAAACTTTGCTTACCCGTGCATAAAATTCACCACACCACAGTAGCAAGAGGATTTGATTCAGTCTTACGCAATCTGGCCAACACTAAAAGTAGACATTATGAATAGACAATGCTGCAGGGATTGTTGACCTGCAAGCCTAAATTTTTCCTGTGCACTCCCGATTACATAATTTCACATCTGGAATGGAATTCAAAGATTTGCCTTTTTGTATCATAATCTCTCAAACTGGGCGCTGGATTTATTGGTGTCAAGTGGTGATGAAGATTTGGAAGTGTTTTACAAACCAGAGTAACATTATGATTATGCGGTCCCAGCAGTTCTGGACTGAATCTAATGGCTTAGGTCTTCGCAGTACTTAACTGATGGAGATTTCTGCTTGTCCGGTGCTGGTTGCCAGACAATCTGTATGACAAATCAGAGGCATTGGACAGGTATGGCTGCTGGTAAAGCTGGTTGTTGTCAGCACACATGAGGAATCTAAAGTAATTTCAGATAGACTCACTGAGGAGCACCATGTGAGAGTGTGAGAGGCCAAGGGAAGAATCTTGGAGGACTCCATGAGTGCTGTCTCGTCTATTTGTTAATCAATTCATATTGCTTCAGTTCTGCTGCAAATCTATAATTTTTCTTCACAGAGTACAGCCGTTTTGAGTCTAAAATCCATGACCTTCGGGAGCAGATGATGAACAGCAGTATGAGTTCTGGTTCTGGCTCCCTGCGGACCAGTGAGAAACGCTCGCTTTATGTCCGGTAAGTTTGTTATACTGGTGAGGAGGGAGATGCACTCAAGCATTTCAGTTAGCAAGAGACAATACAGTAGTTGAATCGAGAAATGGGTATCTTGGTCATTTATCTCCTCCGAGAGTAGTTGTTGTCACATTGTTGCACTTATTACCATATTACTTGACACTAGACCCGCCATTTCAAAATAATTTGTTTTTCAGTCCTTTGAGTCGTTTCAATGTGACCAGGTATTGAATAATTTTTATTTTTAAATAAGTTAAACTTTTGTTTTCAATGGAGTCTCAATTAATTATCAGTTTACACTATTACCATCATCCTAAAGGGGAAGCTAGATATAACTGTTAGAATATTTGAGGAAAGCAATAGAAACATGGCTGCTGTCTGATTCCTTGCTGTCTCAATGATTTACAGTTTATCTATTTCAGCTTCTACCATGAGAAATTGAGAAATCAGTGTACTGTAAGAGCAAACATTTTAAAATTTACGCTAGATATATATCTAGCTTACAGTAGAAAATAAAAGATTAAGATTTGCCATGTCGGTCCTGGGCACTGCTTTTAGACTCATGGTATGTAGTGGAACATGGACAAGTAAATTTCCTGCTGATTACCATCTACTGCCCTCCATGACTGATGAATCAGAACACCACTTGGAGGAAGCACTGAGGATGGCAAGGGTGTTAAATGTACTCTGGGTTGGGGACCAAGAGTGCCTTGGTAGCACCACTACTGATGGAGGTCACTGAACCCTAAACAACATAGGTAGATCAATGTTAGGTGGTAAGTGAACCAAGAGGGAAAAATCTATTTGGCTGTGTTCTCACTGATTGTCACACAGGCATATCTCCATGACAGTATTGGTAGGGGTCACAACTGCATAGTGTTTTTGGCAACAAAGTCCAGTATTCACATCCCTGTATTCAGTGATCATGTGGTGCTGCACTGCCTCTGCAGTAAATTGGAGAAATTTAAACAGACCCAGCAACTCATGTTGGGCATCCATGAGGTGTTGTAGACCATAAGCAGCAGGATAATTGTGTTGAGCCACAATTTGTAACCTGAAGACTTTACGTACATTCCAATCTACCATTACCATTAAGTTGCAGAACCAGCTTTGATCCCCAATAGTAGTGATGTGTCAATCAGGTAAAGCTAAACGCAGAATTACTTCCATGACAAGCAGCAGAAACAGCATGTAACAGACAGGGATAAATGATTCCATGGCCAATAGATCAGATCTAAGCTCTGCAATGTTTTGTTACATCCAGTGTGACTGTAAAGCAGCTACCAGGAGGAGGAAGCTCTATAAACATTCCCACCTTCAATGTTGAGGAGTCCAGTTCTTCAATGAAGAAGTCAATCCTGAAGGAATTACAACCATTTTAAGCCAGAGCTGCTGAGTGGCTGATCCATCCTGGCCTCCTCCTGAGGTCCTTAGCATTACAGATCACAGTCTTCAAGCAATCTGATTTACTCTATGTGATATCAAGACACAGCCAGAAGCACTGGATATTGACCATAAGACTTAATGAGTCCGTTCCACCATTGAGATCATGGCTGATCAGATAACCCTCAACTCAATTTTCCTCCCTTACCCCCATTACCCTTGATTCCTTCAATAATTAGAAATCTGTCTGTCTGATCTTTGAAAGTACTTAACTCAGCCTTGACAACCCTCTGCAGTAAAGAATTCCACAGATTCGCCACCCTGAGAGAGGAAAAAATATCCTCCTCATCTCTATCTTATATAGGTAACCTCTTGATTGAGATTATGCTTCTGGCCCTCAACACTACCCCCAAGGAGAAACAATCTCTCTGAAACAACCATGTCAAGCCCCTTAAGAATCATCAATGTTTCACTAATGTCTTGTCTCATTCTTCTAAACTTCAATGAGTACAAACTCACCCCACTCATCCCCTCCTCATAAGAAAATCTCTACTTACCCTAGAACAACATAGTGAATCTTCTCTGGACTGTATCCAATGCCAAAGGTTATGGATCCTGCCAGTGTTCTGCATTTGTACTGGTGATACGTGCCCAGAATTAACAGAACTTCTAGCCAAGCTGTTTCAATGCAACTACAACACTGGCACCTACTCAACAATATGGAAAATCGGTAGACAAACAGGAGGCTGGAAGAGCACAGCAGGCCAGGCGACATCTGGAGGAAAGAAGCAGTCAACGTTTCGGGTTATTACCCTTCTTCAGAAAATTGGCCAAGTATGTGATGTTTACAAAAAGCAAAAAAGACGAACCCTGCCAATTGATGCCCTGTCACTCTATTTTCGATCATCAGCAAAGTGATGGGAATGGCCCTCAATGGTGCCATTAAGCAGCACTTGATTAGCAGTAACTTGCTCACTGACATTCAGTTCGCATTCTGCCAAGCATGCTCAGCTCTTGACTTCATTACAGCTTCGGTTCAAATATGACTACCCTCGTCATCAAGGCAGCATTTGAAGGACTGTGGCATTAAGGAGAACTAACAAAACTAGAGTCAATGACATCAGAGATAGTAGGAACTGCAGATGTTGGAGAATCCGAGACAACAAGGTGCAGAGCTGGATGAACACAGCAGGCCAAGCAGCATCATAGGAGCAAAACCTGCTGTGTTCATCCAGCTCTGCACCTTGTTGTCTTAGAGTCAATGACAGATGGGTTGGAATGCTGGTTGGAGACATAACTTTCATGAAGGATGATGGTGCTGGTCCCAGGACATCCCTGCAGGAGCTCCTCTTGGTAGCGTTGTAGGCCCAACCATCATCAGCTGCTTCAGCAATGACATTCCCTCAATGTTGAGGTTAGAAATGGTGATGTTTGCCGAGGCTTGCACAATATGTAGAACTATTTGTGACTCCTCAGATGCTGAACTAGCTTGCAGTCATAAGTGCAATTAATATTTGTACTACATAACAACCAAGAAATGATCTCCAATAAGGGAAAACCTAACGATTGCCCCTTGCGATTCAATGAATTTACTATCATTGAATCATTCACTGTCAGCATTCTGGGAATTACCATTGGCTAGAAACTGAACTGGATCAACAAGAAAAACAGATCCTACAAGAGCAAGTCAGAGGCTGGGAATTATATGAGGAGTAGCTCACTTCCTCAACCCTGTCCGTCATCTACGGGTGCAAGTCAGGGGCGTGATCGAATATCTGAATTCACATAGCTCCAACAATACTCAACTTGACACCATCCACAACAAAGCAGTCTGCTTTCTAGCACGCTATCTAAAAGCTTGAACGTTCGCTCCTTCTGTGTAAATTGGCAGCAGTGTACACTGTTTACAACGTGCCCTGTAATGACTCATCAAACCACCTTTGACAGCACTTTTTAGACCTGCAATCTCTACCATCTAGAAGGACAAGATCAACCTTTTTAACAGCCTTATGGGTCTACCTACACCAAATGACTGCAGTGGTTCAAGAAGGCAGCTCACCATTACCTTCTCAAGGGCAATTAGGGATGTGCAATAAACGCTGGCCTGGACAGTGACACATAAATCCCAAATGAACAAAATGAAAAATAATGGATGTGTGCAGCCTAAGTAACCAAATAAATATTCAGAAGACTGAGATTCAGGGAAGGTTCCATGAGACTGGAAAACAGCAAATACAATTCCTTTCTTCAAGAAGGAGGTGGAAAGCAGGAAGCTACAGGCCAGATAGCACAACATCTTCATGGGGAAGATGATAGAAGTTATGAGTAAAGAAGCTATGGCTGGGCAATTAAAAAAAAGATCCATGGTAATCAGGCAGAGTAAGTTTGAATTTGTGCAAGGGAAATCCTATTTAACCAATTTATTATAGCTTTTTGAGGAAGTAAAGTGCTGCAAATAAAAAGGGACTGATGGATGTACTGCATTTAAATTTAAAGAAAGCGTTTGTAAATTTGTCATACCAACGGTTATTGTGGAAAATAAAAGCTCATGGTATAGCTGGTAATATTAGCATGGTTGGAAGATTGGCTAGCTAATGAAACAAAGAGAAAGCATAATCAGTGCTGGAATCTCAAGTTTTTATATTTATATAAATTACTTGGACAAAGGGACTGAGGTTGTGGTTGCTAAATTTGCGATGGCAGAAAGATTGGTAGGAAAGTAAGTTGTGAGGAGGACATTTTAAGGAAGCCACAAAGGGATTTATGGATGGGTCAAGTGAGCGGGCAAAGATCTGGCAATGAAGTATGACGTGGGAAAATGTGGAATTGTCCACTTTGGCAGGAAGAATTTTTAAAAAGGCATATTTATCTAAATGATGAGAGATTTCAAAGTTCTGAGGTAAAGAGGGATTTGAGCAAATTGTGAAAATATAAAAATCTTTAGATGCATTAGTTAATTTAATCAGCCTGTGCTTGCAAAATTCAAAACATAATGTCAAATTTTAGATGTGATTCCATGATTTAACAGCGCTGACTAAAAATTACAAAGGAGTATTGACAGATTGGTCTTCATCTGTCAGTTTTGCCCATTCAGTGTAGAAAAATGGATCTCAGAAGGATAGATAAGATTGTTTTCTAAATGCCAAGAACCTGAAAACTGCATGCAGTTCTGGAGACACCTGTTGAGAGATGTTTGATGCAGATTCACCAGAATTATATCATGGCTAAAAGGGGTGACTTATGAGGACAGGTTGCTTAAACATAGCTTACATTACCTTAAATGCAGAAGAGAAAGGGGTGAAATACTTGAAACATTTAAAATGATCAGAGGACTTGATTAAAAAAAAAATTTCTTCTGGAGGAGAAGTTCAGAACAGGGAGGCAGAACTTTAAAAGTTGAGAGAAATCAGGCATCAAGTCAGAAAGCACTTCTTCACACAAAGTTAATGGAAATCTGGAGCTTTCAGCTCATTCCTGCCCTGAAGGAGAAAAAAGGCTGATGAGGCTGTGTCAATAGAAAATTGAACATCTGATTGTAAAATCACTTTTTGTTACATACGAATATTGAGGGCTACAGACCAAAATGGATAAGCATAGGTAATACTGGTCAGCCATGATCTAATTGAATGGCAGAGCAGACTGACTAGCCCATTATTTTTCCTTTTTATTTCTCAGCCCAGTTATCCATATGTTTATTCAGTGTGATCAATACTGACACTGGGCAGTTTGGAGAGAGAGTTCCCAAATCTCACTGTGCATCATTGCAATGTGTGTGTGCATGCGTTTGTGTAGTATCTGTCTCATCTCCCTGTAATAGTTGCCAAAGTGTTCTGAGCTTACAGTATACCTTATGCCATTTGTTTTTCAGTGCTCTCTTTGACTATGATAGAACCAAGGACAGTTGTCTGCCAAGTCAAGGGCTGAGTTTCTTGTATGGTGATATTTTACATGTCATTAATGCCTCTGATGATGAATGGTGGCAAGCACGACTTGTTACACCTCATGGCGAAAGTGAGCAAATTGGTGTCATACCAAGTAAGAAACGGTGAGTGAGAAACTTTTCTACCAACACTTGAGTACATTGAATCATCCAGAAATTTTCTTATCTGTCCTGAAAAGGCAGTAAAGCATTTTGATGTCATCAATCCCCCAGCGAAGGCTTAATTTCCTAGGCACAAATTTAGCCAACTCACTGACACTGCCTTGAGGGCAAATCAGATTGTTCACAGTCTTGGAATACTATATCCTAAAATAAACTTGCAATCCCTTAACCCTTGCATCACAAAAGATCTCAAACATCCACTTCTATAACCTTGTTATCTCTGCCTTAGCTAGGTTTCTTTGTTGCTGAAATCATCATTCATGCTTTTGGTTAATTCCACACTTGACTGTTCCCATGTTCTCTGTCATGTCTCTCACCTTCCGACCTCCATAAACCTGAACACGTCCAAAACTGTGCTTTCCGTATTCTAACTAGCCTATCCGTCCTATACCATCTGAACTCCTGTGGCTCCCAGCTCAGCATTGCTTTACATTTGAAGTTCTCATCTTTATGTTCCTATTTTTCCATGGTCTCATCTCTCCCATCTCCTTTAGTCCTATAACTTGCACAGAACTATGCATTCCTCCAACTCTAACTGCTTGTAGATACCCCACTGCCTTCTCACCAGTAGTAGCTCTACTTTGAGCTAGTTAGGCCCCAAGATCTGTAATTTTCTCCCTAAAGCTCTCCACATTAATTCCTATAAGATCTTTATTAAAACCTATCTGTTGAATCATTCTTTTCACCACACTTTCCTAATATCTCAATTTTTTTTTAGCTTGGTATCAATTTTTATCTGATTATATACTCCTCAAAAGTGCCTCGGGACTTTTTTTTCTCTATGATGAAATTGGTGTATAAATGTAAGTCATTGTTCTTGGTCCAGTGGATAAATGGTTAGTATTGTGAAGTCGCCATTCTTCCTTTTTCTTAATTGGAAAACAAAAGGTTTCTCCATCTTTCTAATCACTGATATTGCACTGTTTGCTCTATAATAGAGTTAATGGTGCTTGCTTAGAGCAAATTCTTCTTTCGTGTACAAATTGTTTCATTTCAGTCCTTGCTTCAAAATTGTGAAATGGACTATTTTTCTAATAAAAAAAGTTCTCAAGAATAAGCCCAAGAAATGACGTTACTAAATTTATCTACTGCTCTGCTGGTAGCGCAGAACAAAAAAAGACATACATTTCTATAGTACTTTTCAGGACCACTGGATATCTCAAAATGTTTCACAGCTAAGGAATTACTTTTTAAAGTGTAGTCACTGTTAACAGTATAGGAAGCGCGGCAGCAATTTCTTACAGACAGCAATGAGACTGAGGGATACATTTTGGCCAGGAAAATGTGTCATTCTTATGTAAGAAAGGTGACAAGTAGTCCTAATAGCCACAGACCAGTTAGTCTGACATTGATGATGGGCAAGATATTTGGAATCCTTAATTAGGGAATAAAATCAGCTGGCACATGGAGAGGCTTGAGTTAATTGAGGAGACCCAGCATGGAATTATAAAAGCCAGTTCATTCTTGACTAATCTAATTGATTTTTTTTTAATGAAGGGATTGTAGTGGAAGATGTCCATATAGATTTTAAGAATGTGTTTGACAAAGTATCACGTAACAGGCTAGTTAATAAAAGTGAGGCAATGGCACCAGAGGGCCAACTGAATACTAAATTGACTGAAGGTCAAAAAACTGTGAATTCTGGTACATCGATAAATAAAGCTCCCAAAGTAAACTAGTCCCATTTGCCTTCATTCGGCCATATACCCCTAAACCCTTCCTATTCATGTACCTATCCAAATGTCTTTTAAATGTTGTAATTGTACCTGCATTTACTACTTCCTCTGGCAGATCATTCCACGCATAAACTACTCTGTGGAAAAAAGTTGCCCCTGGGGTACCTTTTAAATCTTTTTCCTCTCACCTTAAAATCATGCCCTCTAGTTTTGAACTCCCCAACCCAAGGGAAAAGACCTTGGCCATTCACCTTATTTATGCCCATCATTTTATAAACCTCCATAAGGTCTCCCCTCATACATTCCGGTTAAAAAAAAAAAATCCCAACCTATCCAGCCACACTAAAAGGTCTTTGACAGGATGCAGAGAAGATTTACCAGAATGATTCTAGGGCTTAAGTGGGTTTAGGGATTTAGTTACAAAGTTAGTTTGAAAAGGCTGGCATCATTCTTCTTGGAGCAGAGGAGACGAAGATGAGATTTGATATAGGTGAACAAAATCATGTTAAACTTAGTAAAGTAGACCAAGGAAGAACTCTTCCTATTGCTGATTTTAAAGAGACCAGGGGATACAGATTTCAGATTTTGAGAGGGGAAGAACTATTTTCTGTAGTAAATGGTAATGACGTGGAAATCACTCCTCGTGAGGATGGTGGATGTGGAAAAATTGATTTAGAAAGAAAATTGGATGGACACTTGAAGGAAGTACACCTGCAGGGAAATAGGAAGTGAATAGGGATTGGAGGTCAATGCCATCTTCTGTCCTGAAGATTACATTATGATTCTAGGAATCCAAGGATAACACCCCTGCTCTTTTTTAAAATAATGTCATGAGATCTTTAACATCAACTGAACAGGCATCTGGGGCCTCAGTTTAATGTCTCATCCAAAGGATGGCACCTCAACAGTGCAGTAGTCCCTCAGTACTGTAACGGAATGTCAGTCAGTTGAGGCACGACGAGGGACATGAGCTTAGGATCTTATGGCTCAAGTGAAACTGTACCAATTGAGCCATGATTGGCAGAGCCCGTCTGGTGATGTTTTTAGCTTGTAGTATCTGGTATATTGCCCTATCTATCAAATCAAGAGTTGAGATTTGTGGGGAAGGAAGGAAAAACACTTGCAGCAAGAATAAATAGTAAAATTATTTAGATTAAGTCCCACTCTAAGTTTCATAACTATGAGTGAGGTGCCATGATCAGTATACACCTCGTCCATATAAGATAGGCACATATATGCCCAATTGGCATAACTGCCTTTGCCTAATTGTTAAAGCATAGGTATTGAAGTTTCAGATTATATGTAAATTTTTTTTTTCACATGCATTGCAATGAAATTTTTACAAATACTTTGACTCGTGTGTACTTACAGTTTAATGCTTAGCATTACTTTTGGGGAGCATGGTCAATCAATGCTGAATTATGTAAAAAAATTATATGGATTGAAGTCTTTTTGACTGTTTTTGCTGAGTTAAATTAATCAAATGAAGAGCTGCTCACAAGCATCTTAAGTTTGCAGTACATTTACACTTATCAATATTCATGCATGCATCTTAACAGGCAGGACACTTCTACAGCAGAGAGCTGTCTGTGTGAGATTTGTTTTACTGCAAATTGACTCAATGACAACCTCAAGGTTCTCGCACAGTTGTGAAAGTCACAACGTTTGACTTGAGTATAACATTTTCTTTCCAGGACGCTACTGGAGACAAGTCAGTCTGCAGTTTATACCTAGATACAACAAATGACTCATACATATTGGGTCAGCAAAGCACTTTTAATACTTCCATATTGGAGAGGGCAGAGAAGTTTTAATTTTGCAAGTTTTCCAAGTGTACAGGACATTTTAGATGAAATCTGAGAAATTAGCTTCATGCACATGTTAACCGGAGAGGGCACTTAGAGTCATACAGCACGGAAATAGACCCTTCGGTCTATAATCCCAAACTAAACTAGTCCCACCTGCCTGCTCCTGGCCCATATTCTTATAGAACCTTTCCTATTCACGTATCTATCCAAATGTCTTTTAAAAGTTGTAAATGTACCTGCATCCACCACTTCCTCAGGAAGTTCATTCCACACGCGAACCACCCTCTGTGTAAAAATTTCCCTCTCATGTCTTTTTTAAATCTCTCCCCTTTCACCTTAAAAATGTGCCCCCCGGTCTTGAAATCCCCCATCCTAGGGAAAAGACGACTACCATTAACTCTGTCTGTACCTCCATTATTTTATAAACTTCTATCAGGTCGCCTCTCAACCTCCTACACTCCAGTGAAAAAAGTCCCAGCCTATCCAGCCTTTCTCAATAACTCGAACCTTCCATACCTGGCAACATCTGGTAAATTTCTTCTGAACCCTTTCCAGCTTGATAATATCCTTCCTATAACTGGGTGACCAGAACTGGATACTGTATTCCAGAAGAGGCCTCATCAATGTTTTGTACAACCTCAATATGAATTCCCGACTCCTATACTCAAAGGACTGAACAATGAAGGCAAGCATGCCAAATACCTTTTTAAACAGAGATAGTAGGAACTGCTGATGCTGGAGAATCTGAGATAACAAGGTGTAGAGCTGGATGAACACAGAAGGCCAAGCAGCATCAGAGGAGCAGGAAAGCTGACGTTTCAGGCCTA